CTATCCTTTAGACTGAGGATATATGACAGAGGAAAAGTTCTTATGAATTCCCAACAATTTGCAGAACTGGTTCGTGTTGTCATTGTTGAACTGTTTCCCATTATCATACATGAGAAAATGTCGTACATCAAATCGACAGACTATGTTGTTCCATATAAAGTTTGTACACTTTTACTCTGATATAGTCGTCAGTGGTTCAGCTTCAAACTCCCACTTCGTAAAGTAGTCGACTGCTATAATGACGAATTTATACCCCCCGGGGGTTCTATGTAATGGGCCAATTATATCAATCCCCTATTTGGCAAAAGGCCAAGGAGAAACTATCGACGTTAAGTCCTCTGAATGCTGTCGGGGGATAGGGGCGTACCTTTGGAAGCTTTCGCATTTCTTTACATACTCGGTTGCATCCTTTTTGAGATTGGGCCAGTAATAACCCTGACGTAGGATTTTATAGGCTAAGGATTGCCCCCTGCATGGTTTCCGCATATCCCTTCATGTATCTCTGAAAGCACATTTTTCCCTTCTTCTTTATCAAGGCACCTGATCAAGGGCGTCGAGTATCCTCTTCGATAAAGGATATTATTGTCTATAGTGTACCTCGACGCTTGATATCTCAACTTTTTTGCTTGCTGTCTGTCCTCTGAAAGTTCACCGTCGACCAAGTACTTGATGATAGGGTTTTTCCAGCTCAGTTGACGATTTATTAGGATGACCTTAGGTTTTCCCTCGATGGCAAGGGCTTTTAAAACTTCTATGGGTACCAGGTTTAATAGCTCGACATCCTTTGAGGTGGCTAGCCTGGCAAGGGTGTTTGCGTTGCTATTTTCCATCCTTGGCACTTGCTGTATGTTATAGGCCGTGAACTTTTTCAAGGCCTCCTTGACCTTCTTAAGGTAGGCCGTCATTTTTAATCTCTGGTTTGATATTGACCTTTTACTTGATTTACAACAAGCTGCGAATCACTGAAGATGTCTATGGCTTTCACTTTCAGGTGTTCTGCCAACCGGAGTCTAGCCAATAGTGCTTCATACTCTGCTTCATTATTGGACGTGAAAAATTTAAATCTGATGGCAACACCAATCCTGCTCCACTGCCATTATCATTGGAGCTCCCGTCAATGTAGAGTTTCCACCTGTGTGGTCTACATCGTTTGATAGTCCTGTGAATTCAGCCACAAAGTCGGGCAAGGCTTGACCCTTAATGGAAATCTGCCGCCTGTAGTCAATATCGAACTGGCTGAGCTCTATGGACCATTTAAGGAGTCTTCTAGAAGCGTTAGGCTTTTGCAATACATGCCTGAGAGGATGGTTCATCAAGACCTGTATGGTATGGGCCTGGAAATAGTGACATAGCTTTCTTGATGGCACCAATAATGCAAGGGCGAGCTTTTCCATCTGCGGATATCTTCTCTTCGCGGATCAGTACCGAACTAACAGCGTGTTTTGAAACCTCCAGATAGAGGCTCAACATTTCTCCGACTATAGGTTTGGATAGTAGGGGTGGTTTTTCAAGATGTTTTTTTAGTTATCAGAACACATGGTCGCACTCCTTTGTCCATTGGAATGGCTTACTTCCTATATGCTTTTCTAGTCTGGCCATCTTCTCAGCCAGAACCTTATTCTCAGCCACGAGCTCTTCCTGTTTGGTTCGTTGCATATCTCGATCGCATCGAGCGTTCAGCTGCTCTCTAAGTCCCCACCGTGTATGGACGAAGATTATACCGGAACAGCATTTCTCCGGTTTCTGTTTTCCTGTGGTTGAGGGGGCACCTCTCTGTTATTCACTGTCTGGGCTACAGCCCTCTCCTGGGCTCTTTTCCTGGCAGCCTGTTTTCTGCTCGCTACAGACCTATTTGACTTAGCTGGACGAGGGTTATGGTTGAGGGGGCGCCTCTCTGTTAGATTTGACCGGACTGCTCTTTCGACGTTGTGAACTTCACGGCTTAGGCAGAGTTCTCAACGTATATCCTCCTCCTGCATGAACTCTCGTCGTCTTGAGGGTATCCTACGTACGACCATTTCCTCGACGTCAACGACCAACTCTCGACTGAGAATGTCTCGGCGCTTGACAGTCAAAGGAGCGGTCGATTGCTCGACCGTGGCGCAACAGTCATAAAGCTCTATTCTTTCTAAATAGCTCACCTTAATGGCAAGCTTCTCATAACAATTGTCAAAAAAGAAAAAAAAAACAATAAGCTCTTTAAGTGAGCCATCCCCCTACAAGCGTAATCATGCTATCAAAATCTCATAAATATGAGCTCAACCACAACTATGGCCTAGAAGGCTGGCTTGTATAAATGCAAATAGGTCGAGCAGGCCAAAATGAGGGCTCGACCCGTGCCATAAGCTTTGCTGGGGCAATGTCAAGAAATACTCCCTCTACAACTCCAACTCCTCAAGTAGAGTTCCATACAGAGCCCTAACCACACATGTAGGTTCTCTATACAACTGAGATCTCACTCTACAATGAGTATTCATAATTATGTTCTAACTTCACAAATAGAGTTCCTTTACTTTTTTAGAGAGCTACAAATAGAGCTCTAGCTCCTCTAAGAATGCACTATAACAAGTCGAACTCTTCACGAGATTGCTTCTCATTGAGCTCAGACTTTTTGAAAGTATTCACAATAGAGTTTGTTGAGAGTGGTGTCCAGAAACTAACAGAGCTCTATCCCTTTCTTAAGAAAAAAAAAGAGCTTTCCTTTAAACTCAAACACCTTGCTTGTTATCAGCATGTGCTTAGTAAGTTAACTTCGCTCAAAGTTCACAAGTTAAAACTCATTTTAACAAAAGGTAGCTCCTCCTTGGCATCTCGATAACAAGCTCCTCATAACAATTGTCACGCCAAAAACAATAAGCTCGTCAAGTGAGCTCTCCCTCACAAGCATAGTCATGCACCCAAAGTGACAAAATACAAGCTCTAACTCTCTGAGGAAGTACTCATAGATTTCAGAATCTTTGAGGAATGCTCTCCGTAGAGCTCTATCCCCTCTAAAAAAGCTCCTCATTTAAGTTTAGACACCTTGCTATCCGAGATACATTTACTAAGTTAACTTAGTAAAAACTAAGTCAGAACTCATTCTGATAATATAAGAGATGGATAGTCTTGTTACTCATCTAAATCTATACAACTAAGTTAGAAATTATTCTAATGAACACCAACCCATGACTAATTTTTCAACATATTACATAAATATGAAAAATTGTGAATATAAGTGGTTGGTGAAAATTAATTATTTATTCAATATTTAAATATTGAAAATACTGTATGTAATACTAAACAAAAAATAGAAAAAAAAAAAGAAAGGAGGAGGAGATTTAGTTTGTAATTTTCAACGTCGCAATAATAAAATAAATATATTTTAAGTTTTGTAAGTGACAAAACAAATTTCTAGGGCAGGTGGTGGCGTGGAGAGCAACTTGAAGGAGGTCCAGGTTCAAATCTTAGCCGCAACAATTATAAGCTTCTGTTTTGGTAGTCCCCTAAGTGACCAGCTCGCTAAGCTGGGCTCGCCCAAAGGGAGCCCGCCAAGTGACAAGCTCGCTACTTAGCGAGTTGGGCTCGCCCAAAAGAAACTCGCTTGGGTGGCAACCTAGAGCTCGCCAAGGTGACGAGCTCGCCGAGCTCAAAAAAAAAAAAAAAAAAAAAGAAAACGAAAAAATTTAGCTGAAGCAAATAAAAAGAAAAATATATATAAAGAGCTAACCATTAAGCTAGCTATTAAAAAAAAGAAAAAACCCTATGGTCTCTCTCTCTTTTTGTTTTTAGAAGAAAGAACTTTAGTAAACAAAGGGGTCTAATTTAAAAAGCCTCGTGTAGACTGTAGAGTGTTAAAGGTCAAAAGTGATAACAGAAAAATAAACAAAGTGCAAGCTCTTGGCACAATCAATTGCACCAAGAGCTGGGGGGCAATTGTTATACCATAATTTTCATAAGTTAAAAATTAGTATTCCACATTGACAATATGAGTTCTATCTCTAGCTAAATAAGGTAAAGAGTATTAAATGACCTGACGAATATATCACCCTCAACTCAAATGCACACTATTCAAACCTAACTTAAGGTAGGTAAGTTAAGGTGGGCAAAGTGAGATATGCGAGCTGGGGTATGTGAGCTGAGGTATGAGGGCTGAGGACTTGAGCTTAACAAGCTAGAGTATGAGCTGAGCTCACAAACAACCTTACCAACTCTATGACCTAACCAGCTCATTGACCTTGACGAGCTCAACTTGGTGAACTCGTGGCATGATGGGTTCCTATGTCAGCCAAAACTCTCACATGCGAATGGGACGTTTCCCCATCCACGTGAGGGCAATCCTACATACCTCTTCAACTTGCAGGTAAGGCAATGCCCCCACCTCAATATACGAGTGAGGTCATATCCTTCCTCATGATCTCACAAGTTCTCAACCATCTATCCTATAACATCCGAATAACTTGGAGTAACCGTTTTAGTAACCGCCCACTCTCCTAAGCTCTCATGTGCGAGACCAACGATCCTGAATAACCACTCACGTTCCCAAATAACCAGGTGCAAAATCACGATCTCAAGATGAGGAGAGGGGCGCAGATTAGGAGGCATGGGAGGAACCGCATTCGACGGTTACTTTCATGAGAATACTCCTACAAATAGGAGATGGATGAGACGAAGAGGGGGTTGAGACTTTGGCTCCTCAACCAGACTTTAGATTTTTCTTGTTTATCTTTAATGTCGAGAGAGAATGTAATGGGGAGTTTGAGTGTGTAAACCTAGAAATTTAATGAAAAAACTCAGCAATCATAATGAATATAAGCTCGATTAAGCCGAACCACTCTAAATCTTTATGTCTCCTATTTGCTTTATTCTTTATTTCACTTGTTTATGGATGTTTGATATTTTTGAATCGGATCTCAATTTAAAGATCCGGTTCCTTTGATGTTAGCCGATTTTCACTGTCAACACATACAAAACTTAGCAAACAAAAACATATTAATTTTAAAATACCCTCAGCAATTGAAAATATTTCTTTTTAACCCCAAACGGAAATTTCATCTGTGCGTAGCTTTGTACAACAAGCTAGTGTGGTTTTCTTCTGAGGTAAGATCAAAATGAATTAATCCATTTGATTACAAACCGCAAAACAACTCTTAAATCAACTTCTGTAAGGCAGAGAAGTAAAGCCAGTCGCTAAAATGCCTTTGGTACAGGCTAGTCCAGTGTAAACTCCTCGAGCCATATTAGCACTTCATTCCTCTATAATCCAAAGGAAAGATTGTTAGTAATTTGAAATGAAACTGCAAACATATATTAGTTTCAGCATCTATTAAAATAATGTATTATATGGAGGTAATAGTTATGAGCTTGAAGAGAACTAACAGAACATACCATTACGAAGCTCCGTGTTCGACCTGGATCGTTGTAACGAGCAAGCAAACAGCCTTTCCTTGGTTTTAGACCATCTCTGAGAAGACTTGACCGGAGAACTTTCATTTTTTCTAAGACAACATCCTCAGTAGGCTTTCCACTGAACTTTAGTACAGCAGCGGTTCCTCCTTCCACCTTTCGCAGGCTTATCGTGTCCTTTTCGGGATCTGGTAAACTGGTCATTGATATGAATCTATTAATCAGCCACTCATAATGAATGGAGTTTGAAAGTAATAGGTTAATTAAGCACACATATACAACTCCGAATGGATAAACTACCGATGTAGGACCAAGAAAGGAAATAGAGAAATAAAAATTCTTGGGATTAGAGACACTAAGGGATATCAAACAAGACGATTGTACATAAAAAACAAGAACTCAAGAGGAGGAAAACCAGAAATCTGAATGTTCATTCATCAACCACAACTAAATTCAAATTGCAATCACTAAGTACGTATTTAGAGATGAACATGACCACAGTTTGATACTAAACGTAACTAAACCGTAATCTCCATCAACTACTCTCTAATATCTCCCAATTTACTATGCTAGAGCCTAATAAAGGAGAGCTTCACCTGTTCATATCTTTGTCTAGTGGGAGCACTACTTGGATGGAGACATTGGACTGTTCAGAATTGGATGCTTCAGTGAAGACAGGAGTTGTCATTGGTATCTTCTCCATCTTAGAATTCTTTCCAAAAATATACCTGCTCAAATAGTACCTATTAAAAATATCATCCAAACAAACAAAAATGGTGCACATAAAAAATCTTGCAGATATACTAACCCAGTGACATCATTGAAGCCAGCAGAGCCTGACAACTTATCTGCGCTTCCTTCTACAACTATAAAGGGTTCATACTTTCTCACCTGTGAAAGCAATCAAAGAACGCTAAAGCCATATAATTAGACCAGAAAAGACAAACAATCTTGAAGCCAATTAATATAGTAATCCGCATATTCATGTGGCAGGGTGATCGTTTATTCTATTGTATGCAATGAATTTCCTGTGTCTTGATATTAACTAGCACGTACTACATACACATGTTACCTCAACTAAAACAGATCATTACCTGTTTCAAATCAGTTTTTCTGATAATTATTGCGCAAATGATTCCGTCTTATAGTCTTATAAAAGCAAAAATAGATTCCGTCTTCTTAAACATAGACTCATTCTTTGAACAAATGATTCTAAATCTTAGAAAGGACAAAAGTTTACTAAGTGATAGAACAATATTTGTAAGAAGGATGGTAGCGGACCTCATAATTTGCCGCTCTTTTCAATATCTGGTATTTCGGTGTTCCCAACTCTGGAGTTTTGTAAATCCGCAGCTACACAAAATAAAGAACTAGAAGTTAGTGGGGCTCAAAATTTTAGCATCCAACTGATGGTATTCTAAATAAAGAGGCAATACCTGCTTAAATACATCCCACAAACCTTCCAAAGAGAAATAGTCATTGTTCTTTATAGAGTCCCAAAAGTCCTACACATCAAGGGACAACAACCAATTACTAGTGAGTTTGACATAAAATGAACGTCCAAATTATGTCTCTCACTTTGGAGAGACATTGGGATCTTACCACGTGGCTGCAAAATTTCCCTGTCTCTGGGTTGATGCCCATCACAGAGGTTCCTGTGAACACCAGCTCTGGTTTCCATGGCAAAAGCAAGAACTTCATAACCATAGTCCATCTTGTTGTTATCTCATATGGACCTGTCTATATCAACTCAATCAGTCACATAAACTAAAAATGGAAATGTAGCATGTGTCTAGTGTTATGATACATCAACCAATCATTAGAAGCCTAATAAGTGTTATGGATCAAAATCCCTAATCATTTAATAACTACAGCAATAATCTGAAAGAAACACAAGCAAGCATGCGCACTAGCTAATACAGTGGTCACCCTGTGAGAGTTACCTTCACTTTCAGCCGATGCAAGTTTCCAAGATTTCAAGGAAATCACACCCCTCACATTTCTTCAACTTATATTCTCTCTCTAATCTACTTTCTAGAACTGTTTCTCTACTTAATAGTTACAAGGTCGGTCCTCGTGATAACTCCGTGGCAAGCTCCACACAACCAACAAAGAGGGTAATGATTATGAAACTCAAGTGCGGTCGCCAACAAGTAACTACCTTGACACAATTAAAGGCAACACTAAAATTTTTTTTTTTTTTTTTTTTTTTTTAAATTTAGACGCCTGTTGGTGTACTAAACAGAGCACAGGTCCATAATTTATCAACTTCAACCGCAATGCATTAGATAATAGAATAGTACTCTAAAATATACTTAAAACCCATATGTCAATAGACTTGAGCTACATATATTTCTTTCAACTGGGTCAATACACAGGAAACCATGTAAGTGGAGTATTTTTAGACATAGCAATATCATTAAGATAATTACTATAAACCATTTTATGATATAAGCATGAATATCAATGTAAGTTTTGTTATACCTAAAATATTTTAAAACAAAATTGTTGTATTTTAACTCTACTCTCATAAAATTTTCATGTAATGTAATTTTACAATTTTTTTTTTTAAGTATCAACTACAGGTCCTTTGATTCTAATTCATTGAGAGGAGAAATTTTTAAATTCAAATCTTTGTGAGATAATGATTCATGGGTCTCAAACAAAATATAGCAATTACACAAACCTGTTTGACCCAGTGCAAAAGGAAGTCAGGCCTGAAGAGTATCTTCAAAAGGGAAATATTAAACAGATACCCACTTATGGAATCATGCTTAGTGATTGGGTCCCGGAACTTCACTCGGTCATCATAGGCCGTCCGATCAATCCCCTGATCATCAAAGAGGTGAGGTAGATCCTCGTACAAGAAATCCACTAGCCGTTGCACGTCGACCGTTGATTTTGCAGCTGGGCTCTGTTCCACCAGGCTTAGTCTCACGACCCATTTGGAGACGTGGGCAGTGTGGTAATTTTGGGAAAGCCTCAGAGTTCTCTTGGACGGTGGGAACGGAAAGTCGGCGGTTTGACGTCGGAGAGTGACGTGTACGGCGGCGCTGGGCCGGAAAATTTGGTGGCTGAGTTGTGTCGTCGCCATTGTTTTGTTGAGGTAAAATGGTGATTCGGCAAAAATCGATTTCGCGCGTGCAAGTTTGCTCTTTTTTTTTTTTTTTTTTTTGGACTTTGAAGCTTAACCAGAAAAATAATCGGTTGGCATTCATTTGAGAAAAACACACTTTATTTATTTATTAATTAGTTAATTTATTATGTGGCTGCCTGTTGGGACGTGTATGCAGCATGCTGTGGACCACGAAAGCAGTCGTCCAGATGAGAAGCACTTGGCGTTTTCACTCGTGAAGTTTGAGGGTGTCAAATGTCACATTAAACAGGACAATTCATAGTTAAATATCGGTAGTATACATTTTTAACTGTTTGATCTATTCAATATTATATAAAATAAAAGGATATGCAAAATTGATAGTTTTAATTCGATGCTAATCTAACACATATGAAAACAGAAACCTATTAATTGTTAATATTTTTTTAGATCCTATCATAGAAATTTCCTAAATATATGTCCACATATTTTCACTCAAATCTTTTTTTTTTTTTTTTTTTGTAAGAAAAGAATGTTTGACAATATACACATATGAGTCATGTACTGTGTCAAAGATTCTCTAAAGAATACCCGATGATTTTTATTTTGATTTGAAAACTTTTAAAAGGAAATGACTCGATATCAATAAGCAAGATTGGTTAGCGATTTGGTTGTCAAATAGAAGATGGTAGATTTCTTTATTACGAAATAATAATTAGTGGCTCAAAGAATGTTTGAGAAGATGATATTAAAAAAGATTAAAAGAAAATTATTTGGACAAAAAGTTATTTGTGACTCGGCATGAGGTCAAAGTATTACTCCATATATTATTGAATCAATTACTTTTAAGTTGGGATTCTTCTAAGAAAGTTGTGTTCTGTGGCAAGCATTTAGCAAAATATGAAAAGTGCCAAACTGACTATAATTCATTGGATAATTTGATGTGAATCTAATTAGCCATTATTGAACCGTGAATATTTTTTGAAATATGATTTGAAGGATAAAATATGAATATGTATGATTATAAAACGTAATTGACAATGGAACTAGATTAGACTTTGTACCAAGTATATTTATTAGCATGTTGTCCAAGCATTATATCAGAGGTCATCAGTAATTTGTCAAACGTAGAGAATTGACAACAAAATAAGAGTAATTACTCGTAATATAAATCCTTGTTTTATTATATAAATTAGCTTTTGTTTTTAGCACGATACAAACAGTACTATTCTTCTTTGAGTTTTATTTGAATTTACTAATTAAATTAGTTATCTGTCTGTGCCGTGTTTTCTATAATGGAGATATGTGTGTGAATTGATATTTCATATCGCTTTTTATGCTTTAATTTTAGATATAATTTTCATTTTAAAAAACAAAAATAAATGAAATGGACTCATTTTTCAAAATAAAAAAGTCATTGCTGCATTGCTTTATTTTGATTGCTTTTGTGACATCTAAATTTCACAGGAAAAAAGGATTATTAGCTCCCAAGATTACAAAAGTTGGATGGTCTCCCAAGCAGATCTCATGCTCAAAAATATAATAATAATAATCATAACAAAAATAATTGAGCAATGATATGACATATTTATGCACTCTTTAAAACTCTTAAAATATATTCTCTTGAACTTATCTTGGTCTTAGTGTAGTGTTGGCCAATCAATCATAGTGGGCCATCATCATAACTATCATCATCATAAACATAGTATCCGAATAACTGTATTAGGTCTCGTTCACTCCGCGGATACGAGTGTGACTTCTTAGATTGTCACACACACATCAATAGCCCCAAAATGGGAACCTGCCCCTCTTGGCCAAAAGGGTACCTCACCCAGCACAGTAACATCATAAACTGTTGATCATAAATCTGGGTGCCCACTACTTCTTTCCCACTACTTCTTTCATGCTTCAAACACATACTTAAAATAAAATTTCGTTAAATAACCTTGAAGCTAAAGCATCTCTTTAAAAAAATTTTTTTTTTTGAACTTATTACGTTTTTTTTTAAACGACTACTCAAGCATATGATCTACATGGTCATATGTCATAAATTGCGAAAATAAAATCAAATTGTGAAAATAAAAGTATCAGTAAGCTTAACTATTCAAATATAAATCGAGTCATACATATAAATGATATATACTTACCTCGTTTCCTTAGCTAATCAATTAATTGCTTGCAAGTGGATAGGTCCCTTTGCGGTTCCCGACTCAAGCGCCCCAACAATTTTGAATAATGAGAAATTATGATTAAAAAAAATGTAGTAACCATTATTTTTTTTCTCTGTTATATGCATGAGACATAAAAAATAAAAAAAACTATCAATTTGTCCTCTATCCAACCTTGTGTATATTCAAAATTTTAAAAAAGAAATCCATAAATTGATAAACTTTAAAATTTACAGGAAATATATACACATATATGAGCAACAATTAAGAAAAATCAGAATATGAAACTTTATTTTAGATTGGTAAATAAAATTCTAGGAACCAGAGTTGCACTCACATTTGAAGGAACAAATTATAGAACGTTAATCAAACAAAATTTGTACATATATATGTATGTTTATATATATATATATATATATATCTATATCTATCTGTGTGTGTATTTTTCTGTGAACCTACTCATAAGATTAGAAGCTTACCGGAATGAAAGAGTCAACCACAATTTTGTTTTTGTGTACTAACAATTTTTGAAATTCTGATATGATATAAAGGACATTGGATATTTTTACGTAAAGCTTATCGTGGTAGAGATGGAATGGAGTTGATATAGGATTTGATGAGGAGGTTTGAAGCGGTGCTCTAGGATTTGAAGAGTCTATTAAAAAGAGTTTTGAAAAACTAATAAATATATGTTCACTTATAAAAGCGTGTACGTAGAATAATATTTAAACTATGCTTGACAAGTAGCATGCATGGGAAAATGCATGTGGCATGCAGAGAGTCTAAATATATATCTAGAGATGAAGCGGAAAATTTCCGAATACTGGATTCACTACAAGAATTTGAATTTTTTGTTACCAAAAATTCGGTAACTAAAAGTCCTGTTTTTGGTAGCAAAATGTTTTTGTTACCAAAAAAGTTTGGTAGCAAAAAGTGGGCAGCAGAAAGTATTAGTTACCAAATTTTTGGTAGCAAATAGTTGTTGCTACCAAAAAAATTTTTGGTAACAAAATGTATTTGGTAGCAAAATATATGATATTCGGGGACCAAAAATTTCGGCAGCAAAAGGTTTTTGGTAGCAAAAAGTATCAGCTTTCTGCTACCAAAAATTTTGGTAGCAAAATATATTTGGTAGCAAAAAGTGTGACCTTTCTGCTACCAAATATATTTGGTAGCAAAACGTGTGAGGTTTTTGCTACCAAAATTTCGGTAGCAAAAGGTTTTTGGTAGCAAAAAATGTGAGCTTTCTGCTACCAAAATTTTGGTAGCAAAATCTATTTGGTAGCAAAAAGTATGAAATTTTTGCTACCAAAATTTCGGTAGCAAAAGGTATTTGGTAGCAAAAAATGCGAGCTTTCTGCTACCAAAATCTTGGTAACCAAATATATTTGGTAGCAAAAGGCATGAACTTTCTGCTACCAAAATTTTGGTAGCAAAATATATTTGGTAGCAAAAAGTGTGAGCTTTCTGCTACCAAAATTTTGGTAACAAAATATATTTGGTAGCAAAACAATCAAGTACCAAATATTTAGTAGCAAATAGACAGATTTATATACCTGTATTTTTTAAAAAAAAATATATAAATAAAATAGCAAATATTAATTTAAAAATCTCTAAATATTTCAATACATATTAGAGTCCAAACAAAATACTAAAATAGTCATACTTAAACAAACTCAAACATTTATGTAAATATTGTACTAATAAAATCTTAATATTACAAAAATGAAACACTCTAACAAATTGAGGCCGGTGGTGGCGGTGGCGGAGGATGTTCTATTCTTGAGACGGAAGGTCTAGGATGATCGGACGGCGGATTTATTTGTTGAAGTAGCTTTTGAATAAGCTTATGTTGTTGCTTCATTAGGATTTACATATCCGACATACGACGTTTATTTTCTGAACTTCATTTTCAAGTTTTTCATATCCTAAACCTCTAGATTTGCGACCTTGTGGCGCTTTTCTTAGTACAGGACCTATGCCACGCTTGGAACCATATTTTTCATACCTCTTACTTGTCAAAACTTGAGAGTAAATTTCTTCCTCTACATCAGAGTCAAGTTCTTACCCATCTAGTGCTTCACTTAAACGAGCATCGCGGATCTTGATCATTTGTTCCTGCATTAGGCAAAGTGTTATAAACTTTCAAATTAGAGTAAAAAAAATATAAAATCAAACAAAATGATAAAGTGTTTAGTAATTCTTACATAATCTTCCTTTGCTCTCTCAGTTGTCCATCCCCGTGATTCGCTCCAATGAGTGTTCTTGAATACCTCAAAATACCTTCCCGAAGCATTTGAGTCAGAACTTGAATGTGTGTTCTACATAGAAATCATTATTTGTTAGTTAGTTAAAAAGAAAAAAGAAATTATGGTTTCAAGTGGTAGTATACTTAAGTGAGTGCAAGTTAATTACATGGACTTCCTCCAAATGTTGAACTATAGATCTTGAGCCACCCAAATAACCTGCTGGCTTTTTGGAATGATTTTCCGCAGCAACCTGTGCTTTTTTCTATATAAATGAAAAAAGAAACATTTAAATGCATTAAAATATAATAGAAATTTCGACATCATCTCCCCTATAATTT